AAAGTGCTAGTGGAGACAAACAAAGTGGACATTGTAGTAAAGAGTAAAGCTTAAAATAATACAGCAACAGGAGCTGGAGTAATAGAACTCTTATTAAAACTGGCTTGCAGCATTCTAAAACACATTGTATAAATAGAGCGTACAGTTATTACTGCCTGGAAATATAATCACACATACTTCAGATAAGAAATCACTCTAGTTACCCAAAGAGCTTAAAAATCTGTCTTTTCACTACTGATGTGCTTTGCTCTCCGGGTCAAAAGTGATCTTGTAAAAATCTAGACTAAAGGCAAATTTTGGTCATAAATTCAAACCACTACAAATATATATTCCTTAGCAGAAAAGCACGGCTGTACTAGCTAAACAGAAAAGAGGAGAACTGGAACGATTTCAAAAAGGAAAAAAGCAGTAAAAACTGTTCCTACGTCAGAGATTTCTCTTTGTAACATTAGCCAATAATCTCCAGGATTCCTCTTGCAGCTCTTCCTGCTGGAAGTGGAAGGCGTTAACAAGCTTTACCAAAGGCATGACAGTTCCTTCTCCCCTCTCAAAATTGAGTGCAAGCTGCCAGTCATGGAAAGAAGAACAACCAGAAGAAATGGGCATGAGGATCACATAAACACTGCCTAGCCTGGAGCCGCACCACAGCAGAACGTGCGCTGCAGCACCCTTCCTGAATACTCCCCCGAAATGGGCCCTGACAGAGGCCTGCTTCTCGGACTTGGGGCCAAGAATAATGTTGGGGCTTATTAATGCAAAAGCCTCATAAGACGATTCTCTCCTTTAAAGAAGCTATCACATTTCAAGAGGACAAGAGCGCTCACTGTTAAAATGGACTAGACAGGCATTAACACAGTCTTTGCAGCAAAACACTTTATAACAGGCAAGGTATGCCTGCTAGCAACCCTTCAAGCATGCTTGGGGCAGAGACTGGGCAATCTCTCCGGTCACTGGGAATAGCAGACCTCTTATTCCTCCAAAGCTAATTGGAGCTACTTCCAGGGGAACAGGCAGATAAGGAGGCCCACTGAAGATATGACAGAGGGGACCAGAGCTGGGACTGTTCAGTTGAGAGAAGAGAAGGCTCAGGCAGATGTTATCAATGCTTACAAATAGCCAATGGGGTGCCAAAAGGATGGCACCAGCGTCTTCTCAGTGGTGCCCAGTGACAGGATGGGAAGCAATAGGCACAAACTGAAATACAGGAAATTCCGCTTGAACACAAAAAAATCACTTCTTTATTGTGAGGGTGATTGAACAGGTTGCACAGAGAGGCTGTGGAGTCTTCATCTTTGGAGATGAACTCAACACCTGAACGGACACAGTCCTGGGTAATCTGCTCTAGGTGACCCTGCTTGCGCAGGAGGTTAGACTAGATGATCTCCAGAGGTGTCTTCCAATCCTAGCTATTCTGTGAAACGTGCTGTGAAATCTGCCTCCTGCAGATGATTGCTCTCCAAGTTTGTCTTAGAAGAGATAGGTAGACATAAGACTAATAGTGAGAACTTAGCTTAACTTGGATGTGTGCAAGAGAAGAGGACTCTCTACACACCAAAGATGCATCTTTTTAGAGAGCAAAGCTTGCAGACAGTCAAGACAAAGTTCACTAGCAGGCACTGCTGTAGTAAAACCCAAGGGGCAACATTCATTACGGCACAGCACATTTGGAGTAACAGCTACACTTCCCAAACTGCTGCTTTATCATCCTACATCTTTTATCTTTGCTACATAACTGCGCTGGTCATAAACATAGAAAATTTACAGATTAAAACATTAAGTCTATACCTGCTATGTGCAAGCTAAGCATCCTTATCACAGCATGTAAAAGAATAACGATTTGCACAGAGTTCACAGGCTCAGCCTTCAGCCACTGTTAAAGGAATGCACAAGCTCTTGGGCACTAATTGTGAGCCATGTTAAGAGACAATAAAGGCTTTCTGGCTCCAAGGGCTGAGGACTGCTTACGCACAAGGCAGGTTAGCCCAGAACTCCTATTCCAGCTGCAGGTGGAGGGCGATGCAGTAACCATTCCTTTACGTCAGCTCCATCTAACAACCCTACCACACACAAACGGTCCCTGTGCAAGTGTTTGCACTGGCTCTGTGGCCTGGGTTGGCTGCTGGAGGGCTGTAAGAACAGTCTCATATAGCCGTGGGATAATTCTTCTTTTGGTGTGTCTCTTTCCAGTGTAAGTACAGAGAGCTCTAACTGGATCAGTCAGTTGCTACCATTAGTTCTCATGCCTTGGGATATGAAGAGGCACGGGAACTGTAATGGCTTTAATGGAACACAGAGGGGATAACAGCCTGGTGCTCTAAATTTATACCCAAAGAGAGAGGCATGGCCAGCTGCATCCTGTTAGAGCCTAGAAAAGATGGATGCTTTGTATAAATTTACTTGTACGAGGTTAGGAAACTAATGATTTCATCTAAACATTTATGATTCATCCTAAAAAGGTTACAGTGTTAATAACAACAACAACAAAAAACAATAAACAAGTCATTTCCCAAAGGCAGATGAACATTGTCCTCCCTTTAGAGACAGGAAACTGAGGTATGAAGTTAGGCACTTTGCCTAAAGTCATAGGATGAGTCATTGACCGAGAGAGGACAAGTCCAAGCTAAACCGAATTGAAATTTCAGGCACACTGGTGTGAATCTTTCATGAAAACGAAGGGGCTCCAGATGCAAGTGTCAGAATGTCATGCTAATCACCTGTTGCTTTACATTAGCTCTTCATTTTGGGTGAGCTGTAATGCAAAAGCATTTAGTGATCTCCACTGGCGTTTACTCATTTATTTTTTGTTTAATTTGTTACGAAGTATTTCTATTTTGGAATTAACTAACTTCTTATGAATATACATGTTTCTCCTTTCCCCTCCTTCCAGATGGGAATGGTTCTAGTAGACAGGACCAATGAGCAGATAGGGTCAAGGATACTCTTTTGGAGCATTCTCTTCGCTAGACCCAGTATAAGATCCCACCCACTTTAAAGAAGTTCTCTTATAATCCAGGTGCTCTGCTCCTCTCTGGACAGAGTAAAAACTACCTAAAAACACCTTCTTCCTTTCCCACCCCTGCAAGTATCAGAATGCAAAGACTTCCACAGTACTGCTCGAAGAGAACGGGCAGTACCTCAAGAGCTCATTAAACTGCATCCGTAACAACAGCTGACTTGAGTAATGAAATCACACAGCAGACACAGTATATATTTTCAAAGTATCTATCCTGATTCAAGACCAGTTAACAGTAAATACGAAACAAAACAAAGATTAAACAAATGACAGACTAAGACAGCAAATAAAAAGAAATCGTAACTAACAGAATTTAATTAACACCTTTGAGAAAGGTGCTCAATGATTCACAGAGAAAAGTAATTGTAGGAATTCATAGCCAGGTCACAGCAAGCACTGGGTCTTTATTGCTTTTGTCTTTTTAGGCTGCAGCAAAAATGTAAACAGCCTAGAGCAATCTGCAGGATGATGGACAACAGACACCTGACCTCTCATCACAATAAACTCAGCTTTTTTTCTCCACTCACCCCCTCTCCAGCCTTAAATCAAGAACATAAGTGAAATAAAGCAAAGCCTTGCTAATGATTTTGAAGCCCACAGCACATCACTGAAATTTGCCTGCGCATAAGCAAGTAAGTGACCAAGTGTGATTAACTTAAGGGATGATGCATTCCATAAGGTAATGTCTTTTGTTCTTTAATAGGATTAAACAGTTCGCCATAATATAACAAAAATAATGTAACGTATTTTGTACGAGAACTGAAGTTTTTCTAATCAGTAGAAAACGGCCCACAGAAACAGCTACAAAAAAATCTTTACTGAGAAGTAGGGCGAGACTGCCAGGTTTTACGTGAGAATTGCCAATTGTACAGATTAGCAAAATGAGAATTTGAAAGGTTCTCCTGCACACAGAATAGCAAATTATCAGCAAAGTTCTAGCAGACTCTGCTCTTTTCTGGTTGTAAATGGGAGCAGAGAGATCTAAGAAGTAATCACAGCACTCAAATGCAATTTCAGGCACACAACTGTGGGCCCAGTTGTGGAAGAAGAGCTGCATCTCTAAGAGCAAAATTGCAGGGCCAGAATATTTAGTCAGTCCTGAAATGCTGGAATGCAAACGGCAGAATATGCTATGCAACTTTGTTCCTCACCGAGTGCCCGACATAAAACCCTTTCACAAGTTTGGAGGTGACCCCTGAATAGAGTTCTTTCTCTCTGCTCTCTTTTCCCTTTACGAGCGCTGCTGTGACATCCCTGCATGACTGCCTCAAACTGACATGCAACCTACAAGTCCCTGGGAGACTCAAGCAGCCACAGAAAAAATGAGTGGAGAACTTCTTCTTATTTATTGATTTTCACTTAAAACTCACCAGAGATCGGAACATTCCCAGTCTAATAACATTTAATACATGGCTTGCCCAGTTGTTTTAAGGGGAAGTAAGAAGCAAAATGAAAATAAGTACCCTTATCGATTACCACTGTTAATGAAGAACCGCCTAGCCCCTTCTTTTAAAAATGTATTTTATGATGACTGAAGTTTTCTGTGTATTTAGAAAAAACAGAGATGAGCTGCAAAATCACACTACCTCAATTACATATTTTTAGATTGAATGAAACAAATACTATTTCAAAAGCAGCTGAGGTAGACGGGCAGATTTTATGCTGGTATAAGATGCTCAGAAGTAGTCCTGATTTCAACTACTCCCTTAATATTTATGTCACGTCATTCAAACTGACACCAAAAACCCCAGCAGGAAACAGTCACCTTTGAATTTCTTGAATAAGAGGTATACAGAGAACAGCCACAATGCAGTATTTTAAAGTGTCAAGAAAATAGACAGAAAATGATAACCTCTTCAGGATTAAAGCTTCCTCAGCCTTTGCTGAGGATGTCAAGCAACTCATTTACAATAGTTTTTGTGGGGTCTCTGCCACTGGAGGATCGAGAGAACGGAATTCCAGGCTGTCCATGAATATCACGACTTACCAGCTTGTAGCCAGATTTGTTCAAGAGTTGTCCACAGCTGCATGGGTCCTTGTTTCAGTGCAGTGCTCTGCATGGTTATTTCAGACATGGCCTGCTCCAGTCTCGAGGCAGCAACGGAAGAGGCTCGCTGTGATCCTACAGATCAAACAAATTCAAATGAACATCGCATTTTATACTTCACCATATTTCTTTGGCTCATTAGACAGCAGGTCGGATTCTCTACTGCATCAGTTTTGTGTCATAAGAACTGCACTGACTTTTGATGTAACCAATTGGAGAACCTGGCTTTTATAATAGGTTAATTTATTGGGAAAAAAAAAAACCAACCTAAATTACCCACAGGCTACAGCTCAAACAAGTAAATTAAGAGACAGACAGTAATTTTATAAAGGTCTGCTTAACATCCCTCAAGGCAGCAACTGTATTTGTGTTTGGAAAGCAGAATTCTATCACTGAATAACTAATATAAGAATACCTTAATAATACCTTAATAATTAATAACCTGTCTTATAAGCATACCATCACCATACGATTACAAAATGTGGCCCGTCAATGTACAATCTCAGTAAAACACTACAGAGTAGGTTGGTACCACTCACACAGCTCACATATTTGAAGCGACATCAGTATTGTTCTACTGGTTTAGAGACAGCTTGGTTTGCCATTTAACTTTGGGGAGCAGAGCAGCTCAGTGCTTTGACTTATATTAACCTTTACTATGCACTGTAAAATTTATGCAAGAATAAAATATTTGGCACCCACATCTCTGAGAACAAAAACCATCACATGAAATGCTACTCGCAGAAATAATGCATGGACAGAGACCGCAGTCTCAAGTACAGCATGCAGGATTATGCTGGTGAGCCAGACTCTCAAAGGAGCATCAAGAAAGCAACAACAAAGAAAGAAGCTACAAAATGAGATTTCAAGGCTGGCTTTCTAAAGCTTTGGGAAATAAATAATTTAATATACATAGGTTTAACGTGACCTTAAGTTTGACAAGCTCGTTCTCTAGAGAGTTGCTGTGACTGAAGCACTAGCCCTGATTAGCATCGCTCTTCAATCTATCCTTACAGGCTGACCTTGTAGACCACAAGATACTGGAGTTAAAATCCTACTGTTTATTTCAGGACCAACCTTGAAGGAGCGGTAAATCCTAGGAACAGGTATTTGGAGAAGTTGGGATGGTTCAGGGCAAGAGAAGGGCAAGAGAAGGGCAAAAAACATGTCGTGGGACACACGCATGAAGTACTCTATTAATAAAGAACTATGCTTTACCAGCTGGACAGCGCTGAAGATGTGTCCAAACCACACCTCCCCGCCAGCAGATCATCACCCGTGGGAGCCAGGGCTGCCAGCAGGTAAAGCAGCTCGGTCCCCCGGCCTGCGCTCGCCTGAGCGCTGAGCTGGAATCCAGCCTTCTGCCAGGCACGAGAGGAGGCTTGTTTCCCGTGCACACTTGTGTGCAAAGACACCTGCGCAGTGCAGGGCAGAATATAGCCCATAGCTTTTATGTAATCCAAGGAAACGCTGCCTGCCTGTGAGAAAGAGTAATGTGTAGGGAGAGGCCACGAATGCAACTCAAAGCCTAAAATCGCTATGGGAAATAGTTGTCCCATTATCTCACCGCTAACTGATGCCATTCATTTTAAGCAGAAGAACTTCAAAACAGCCCTGCAGTGCTCACTGCACGAGCCTCCCACAGCTCACTTGGAAAATGCAAATGTGCTCTTCCTAGATGCATTTTTTGAATTCCTACAAGTTTTCAAAGACATGCCTGATCTAATGTTCCAAGAGATGACAAAGCAGTAATGTAGTAATTATGGCTTTAATGGTACAGTAAAAGCCGTTCGGCTTTGTACAGAGAATTTATTTTATTTAACAGTTTATTTAACAGCTCAATCTTCAGCCTGCTTTACTGTACGGAATTCCTCCCCCTGCCCTTCCCACACACTCTCTTCTCCCTCCCTCCATTTAGGAGACATTTCACTGAAACATGACTCCAAGGAATTCTAAGTCAGGAAAGGGTTGTTTAGTATAGGAAAAACTAGTACCCATTCATCCCAAGTAATCCAAAGCCCCGGTAGAATTTCTTCCACTGGATATGCAACGTGAAAATTGCCATGTGAGCGGTTAGCGATGTTGTTTAGGAGCACTTCAAAGTTAGGACCAGCCTTCTGCATTCTGAATTGGCAAGCTTTAAATAATACGGGCTTTGGGGATTTTGCAGCCAACCTAACCAGAGTCTCATATTAGCACTCCTCATCATGTTAGTATGCTTTGAAAGCTTGCTGAGACTGTCCTCTTCCAGAGAGTCTTTCTGGAGCCATGTTTCTTCAAACAACCGGTACATAATGTAGAGAGTTATTCTGATTGCATTAGATGGACAGATGGGGTGCTTTATCCACACCCTTTGACCTCAGGGAAACCTTCTTCTCCTTCCAAGTCAGTTCAAGGAGACTATGCCACTGTAAGGCAACTTTGTGCCTTTTGGACAGGTTCTCACACTGCCATGAGGCTGTAGAGCCACTTAGGATCTAACAAAGCATCCTTCCTGCATGAAGCAGGCTTTAAAGGAACATCACTGAGTTAGCGGCCCTCCAAAAAATACGTTAGCTGTTCCTCTCTTCCCTTCTCTTCATTAGTCAGGTAGTTTCCAAGGGCAGAAAGGCTGCAATTAGAGACTGATCTCGCTCAGTGCTGTGTGCTTCAATATGCACAGCCATTAAGAGGGAACCAAAATTTTTCAGCACGTCACAGTGGAGGCTCTTTGCATTTAACTGTCTTTGGTATTGCAGTCTTTTGCTGTTTATTTTCTTTCCCATTCAAACTTAAGCAAGGAAGGAAACCACACTAGGCAGAGATGAGGGGAGCCTTTCCCGTCCTTGCATGGTATCAGACACTAGACACACTCCTGGCTCTAGTCGCACATATGGCAGCTGAAAAGGCTCCCCCCATCCCAACCTACACACATAAGCTTGTTATTGCTCCTCTTCCCCATCCCTGCTTAACCGCTCACTGGAAAACTCCTGCATGCTTCTCTGCCCAAATAAACACGTTAAGAGAAGGTCTTTGCCAGCCTGGCCTGTTTTGACTGGTGGGGGGCACAGCAACCGATCTGAACGGCAGAGAGGCAACATGGGGCCCCCGGAGGTGGACTGGGGTGGAGAAGAAGGAAAAAACATCAAGAGACATTAAAAAATGTCTCTGAATGTCTCATTAAAAAATGTCTCTTTCTAAAGAAATATGGATCTTCTTATGCTAAAAAAACCCCACAAAACCTGCCCAACAGAACTTTAATGTCATGCCTCAAAATATATGCAAATGCTGGCATAAGACGATACCATATCAATTTGTTATTTTAGTGCAGTCTCTTTCTCTTTTTAACAGCTCCACTAGACAGAGTATAAACTTCACATTTTGCAATAAAGCCCTCCAACACATTTTGGAAAAAAACAAACCTAACAAAATTGTTTTTGATGTGATGAGCTCAGAGTGTAAGTCGTACAAAATATATCTAAATAATTTTAAAGCACTGTTTTAAGATTGTTGTAAGACCAAGAAGAACCAGGTTTAACATTTTGCATCTGAAAAAAATGGCATCAAAATAGAAATGAACCTCAGTAGATTTACTAGGCTTATAAGAAACACAGAATTCCCTGGTCTAAGTCAATTGAGGCAAGAGCATTATAAGATAAGACTAAATCACGAAAAGAATGGAAGAGCAAGGCAGCTGACTGATATCAGTGAATTTAGCTAGGAATGCTGCTTCAGTCAGGAGATGAAGAAAATAAAGAGGAATGAATCGTCCTGGCAGCAAAACTAGAATTCTAGCACAGCAAATAATCTCATTGTGGTCTAACTGAGGGAGAGGACGGTGTCAAACCCAGACGCAGTAATCCCCCCTTCAGTGACAAGTCCAGAGATCACAGAGCGCCTGTGCGTTACAGTGATACTGCCGCACACTCCCTGGAGATTTCACGATGGAAACTGGAGCCTGTTCCAGGATGATGCAAAAATCAGACCTCCTCCCTCCTTCAAAGCACGCAGCAGCAGCAGCTCCTCTGGGGAAGCGTGAGGGTGAGAGGGGCTAGAGCTGCACTTTCCAATCTTACTTCCTACTACGTTCAAAGAGGGCCCCAACCGGAACAATACCTCCAGCTGCCTGCTTTCTGCAGATGGAGAATGGCAGCGGCAGCAGAGCCTGCAAAGCAGCAAGCTGCACACCCCAGCTTACAGCAGCCATCTCCACTTGTATGCTATGGCAGATGGCGTAATTTAGGGACACATGCCATCCTTACCTCCACCGTGGGTGCAACTGCATTAGCACTGAAACCTAGATTCTCAAAGGAGGAAGAAGGAAAACATTTCTTGGCTACAACCATTCAGTGCAAATCACTGTGTGTGTGAAAAGCTGCTTTAAAGCTTGTACCCTACATTTATTTGCTCTTTTTGGCAGGCAGCACCATGGCACACAGCACTCTGTACTGAGTTACAGCTGCTGCATTGCACATTAGTTGCTAGAAGTGGGATGAGATTAGGCTGGGACAGACACCCAACCTAGATGCTTTTTGGAAGAGGGCACGACGTGAAGACCAAAAGCGCCTGAGCTTTGTCTGCTGTGGCTCAGGAGGAGCTGCTGCAGGTGTGCAGCAGAGGAGAGAGCGGGAGGCAGAAGAGCTGGATGAAGTTACAAGACAGGCCTGGGGAGGAGATGCTCCAGGGAGTGAGCTCTTAGGAAGGAAGGTGGCACCCCAGAACATCAAAATATTACAGGCTCTGCTGGTGATAAATGCTCTCAAAAAGCTCAAACCGTGCTGTGAGATGGGTGTAGCTCAAGCCTGCCCACACTGCTTTCTCCAGACAACTGCAAAGCAAGGCAAGGGATTGCTGGAGAGATTTCTGGTGATCCAGACCCAGAAACACTTCTACAAACCATTAAACGCTAGCTAGAGTTGAAGGAGCAGGGATAAATCCAAGATACAACCAGTTTGAGTATCAAAAGCAAAGCACTGTTTCAGCAGCAGACCAGGAACTGGATGGATAACATATGTGCTGCGGCATAATAATATTTTGTTTTCTTTTCTATTTCTTTCCCAGTAATGCCTAGCGAGATGTTTCTGCAAACTACCTACAATATCTTCCAAACCATTTTCACAGCATGTATCCATCGAAACTGAAAGTCCATTTTACTGCCCAGTATCAGGGATGAGAGGGGCTATTTCTGCAAACGTTCACAATTACCTTCAAATGCTGACTATCTCAAATGATTTTCTATCACCAGGAAACTTCTTCCTGTCACATTCACTCACTTTTCCAGATTATTCTTAACATGCCAAACTGCACAGATTCTTTTGCAATGCATTTAGTATATCCCCATTACCCATCGATGCTGTATTTGTCCTGTTCCCTTTGACTAAGCCAAATACTATAGAACACTGATTCATACAAACAATGAGAAAAAGGATTTAAACAAAATATACAGACTCACCTCAGCAAAGGGTAATACAAGGGAAATGGCATAAACAGATTAAAAATTACATAAATATATATATACATACATGCAGAATCAGTAAGATCACAATGTCATAAATACAGACCCTAAGGGCTCAACACTGCCAGCAAAAGTAAGAGCAGACACACTGAATAACGTTCTGATCCCTGAGCGTCTGTATGCTCAAGACCTAACCTTGTAATGCATTTTAAGCATTAGGGGAGTGTAAATGGGGGCTACATACATATAATTGAATAAAAGTCATATATTTAACCCTGAGGAACTTGTCCTCCTCTTCAGCCATGTACGCTGAGTCTGTGACTTCAGTTTTGCCAGTACTCAACGTTCAAGATTAAGACCTTAACAAACCATAATCTTATGACCTTTAAGCATGAGGCTTGCTTAAAAGCTTTTAAAAATAAATATGTTTTCATGTTCTTTTTTTGGCCAGTGTTTGAACCTGTAATGCTCATTTTTTCCAAGTGTTTCTCTACTTCCAGAAGGGTAGAAAGTTGCTTCTCTAAAAAAACAAAATGAAAAGGCAAGTTTCTCACATAATCATCTGATTTTGAGAGCTGGGGTTTTAAAGGAAACACCAAATATCATGAGACCCATGATAAAATCACAAGTCAGTAGCACCATTAGAAAGTCTCCTTTAGCCTTCCTGCCAAGATTAGCTTTGATGTCTCAGTTATTTACATCTGACGATATGTGTTACTGTGGCTGTATATTTACCACATAATAAAGCATCACACAGCTTATGTACAAATCCAAGACCCAGTCATCCTCTAATAGAAAATTACATTCATATTCAGCTTTCCAAAACAAGAACATGGCATGATCAGGACACTTAAAAAGGTTAATTTGGAGGGGGGGGGGGAAAGGATTGAATTAGTTATTGCAGAAGTATAATGAACTCTCCTCTAATACATGTCACGCTTGTCTCGGAGATCTTTGTAAAAGAAAGCAGGAATCCATGTCTTTGTCTTTATAAATAGGAAAACTGAGGTACAGATGAGCCACAGCGACACACTCAGCAGCGCAGAAGCAGCCTTGGAGGCAGATTCAAGAGCAGAATCCAGATCTCCTGACTCCCAGTTCAGCAGCCTTCCCACCAGAAAATAATACGTTCTTCTCTCATGAAAGCACCTATTTAGGACGGGAAAGCAAAAATCTTGTTTCCTCACCAGAATCAGTGTCATGAGCATCCGGGAGTGTGAGATGCATTCCATTATGCTTTTTGATCATGGGCACTTCTGTCACACTACTTTCTTTCTCAGAGCCACTGTAAAGAAACAAAACCATGTTATCTAACCACTTTTCAGCAGAGAGATCATGTTTTCCTCAGAGCAGGCAATAATCTCATCTAACTTCTACTGGGACTGAAAACTCAGCCTTCCTGGTGCAGGTAATCAGCTTCTCGACTGTGTCATTTTAACATCCCCAGCCCCCCAAATGGAGCAGAAATCAAACACTCAGAGACACAGCGCCCAGCAGGGGCTCCAGAAGGTGTGCCACCACCTATTTATGCAAACGTTGGGGCCTCTGCAAACCACTGCACAAGGAACATGTTGCCAGCTAGGAGCCAGATCAGAGAAGGCCAACCAGCACCGTTTCCCCCCCCAACACATACCAGGAGAATCACTGTCCCTCCCGTTCATCTGCAGAAGGATTTGTTCACAGGTCCACTATGCTAATTTTTTCAAAACAGACCAATTACCACCTTCCATACAGGTGCTAATTTCTTCATTTCAAAGGGATTATGTTCTCCTGTTTAAGAGGAGGAGGAGGAGGAAAATAAAAGCTACTACATAGTACTGCATTAGGAAAGGAAGACTGTCTGGTCTGCTCTTTGACTTGACTTCTGTCCTCAGCAGAGGTCTTCCAAAGGGAAACGGATAAAACCTTGGGTGCCTAAGTGAAAATCACTTAATGCAGATCTCCTGAGCCTTCCTGTCACCACATAGACTGCCATCCCTCTAGGATCAGATGGTGATGATATCTCCTCTCATCATCCATTAACGGACAAAATATCAAAAGGGGAAGTGACTGTACTCGCTGCTTTTTCTGGCACGCTTTCAAGTGTGCAGCTCAGCCTTTAGACAATATTGCCCCAGGACAAAAAGTTATCACAGACTCATGATTGCTCTGGATGCCTAGTTTTCTAGTCTAATCAGTCCGTTGGTATGAATTGTACAAGATTCCCTTTGAATTTTCATTAAGCTAGCAAAAGAATTAGCTTGAGACTGCTATTTGGTTTTAAATACGATTTTTCCGTTATCACAGAGAACAATAGCAAAGGATAAACGAAGTCTTGTCTTTGACAGCTATGCAGTCTAGGATTGAAAGCTACTCACTGTCATTCATCATAGTCATAATCATATTTACAACAGCTAATTAACCTTTTATGTGGGCTTTGGAATCCACATTACAGTTTCTGTTAACCGACCCTGAATTCTTGGGTATTTGGACCTGTTCACACAAAGCTCTGGCCTTGACTGGGCTTCCCTGGCTTCTGCACTGTTTTACACATTGACATCCCATTTGAAATTATCAGGCTGTGACAGATGTAAGAAAAAATTAAATTCTCTGTGCTGCACCTCTGTCTTGCCCAGCCAGGACAGGCACAACTGTGATCGCCTTGGCTGGGGACTGCTCGTGGAACTGCAGGACTGTCTCCACTTTGGGGGTGCATTATGTATGCAGGAACATGGCAAAGGCACTTAAAAGTATAACTAATGTGAGGTAAAACATGTGTTGATGCAGCAGTCACCACCAGGATGTCAATGTTTAGGCACATAGCTGAACACTGACTTATACATTAGATGCCTACATAAAGGGCAGCTGAGGACACTGGTGGACAGCATAGGTTTGGCTACAGTAAAAACTGACAACAGGAGATCAGCATTTAGAGTTGTCTTGATGAGGTGGCCCCAGTCAACAAAATGCATCTTGACACAGCCAATGACATGGCCTTTTAACTGGGAAAATAGACTGAAATCCCAGCCTAATAAACAGGCGGAGCATATTCTGCAAAACAGTAATTCCCGGAGGCTTTAATCATCTCTGAAAAAAGGCTGAACATGAGCTCTTCCTTCAAAACTGCAGCACAAGGCCTTAAACCAAGAATGCCTTTCCATGCACCAAAGAAAGAACAGTATCCAGATCGAGTGCCACATGCATATGACAACAGAAAGGCTGATTGCGGGATGCCAAATGCAGCTCCAGCGTCCATATTTTTAAAAGGTAGTTGTGAAAGTGGATAGAGAGTCACAAAAAAGAGCTGAAGGAAACACTTTATTGTTATTCGGTTTGTTATTCAGTTATCAGAAAGAAGATAAAAGAAGACTGGAGCATGGCATATGAATACCTGCCTGGGGAGAAAATACTGGGTGCTGAAAGACTCTTTGGTCTAGCAGAGAAAGTCATAATAGAAGATCACAAAGCTGGGAAACTGAAGTCAGATAAACGCAACCAAATCTAGCTAAAGTGCAACTTCACAGCATGGTTGATTAGCTACTGATCGAACTAGTGAAGCGCTGTGTACACCAGATCTCAATTTCTTTATAAAAATACAAGCTTCTCTTTTGCAAGAGGCCCTAAAAAACGTCTGTGCTCAAGTTCCACTGATAAAAATTCCCCTTAAGTTCCTATGAGAGCCCTACCCAGGGCATTTTGCAACTGTTAGTTGATACTGCTTCAATTTGCTTCAAACAAGGGGCTTCCTGGGTCACTGAATCCAGTCTTTAATGATGCAGGTACCCATTTCATTCTCGTTAACTTTCAAGCAGTACCTCCCAATACAGATTGCGGTGTGAAGTGTTTTTGAGAAAGCCAAAAAGTCCCACTGGGAATAACAGTGAAATATACATTGGAGTTCCTAAAAATAACCCTCATTTTTGTTTCGTTTAGGCTTGTATGGCCGACGCTTATCAAAAGCCTAAAGCTATCGCATTTTGGCTTTTTCACTGTAAGGGCCAAAACACAACTTGGGACCCAAATGCAGTACAAATCCCTGACCTACTTCTCTCTTCTCCAACTTACTCTCAAGTTTGCAATCCTGGCTTGCGAGAATAAGTCTTACTCAGTCCTATCAGTCCAATGTGGATTTGTTCAGCTTCATGAAGACTGCTTATGGCATAGAGATTATTCACGTGAGAGGTACAAGATGGAATCCTTACATAAAGAGTCTAGGGCTAATGGAAACCAACAGTTCCAGCCTGCAAGAGGCCATTTCTCTACTGCTATGTAAGTATGTTGATCTTTGTATTTGGTCTGCTACTGATTAGCTAAACCAATAAGGAATTTCTAATAATACCTCAAGGAGAACATGTACATAGATATGCCTCATTCTGTACATACAGTTCTGGTGTTTAGAAGGCTAATGTAAATATGTGCACAAACTGGAAAAGACCACAAACTTTCAGCAGCTTGCTGACGTAACTGTTGCCATCAAGCATGCTGTTCTTTCCCATCAAACAAAACCTCTCTGGATATTACGTGTCCGAGGTAAGTACAGTGTCACTTTCCCAAGATCACTGTCCGGTGGTACCATGACTGGGGCAATACTCAAAGTGGGTGGGAAGAAATCAAAATCAGCATGGTAGCTTTCACAGTTCTTAGCTTATTCAGTGCAGGACTGTGTCTCCCTTCCGCATTCCTGGGTGGTAAAAAGCACTACAGACTCATTAACTTGAACAATAGCAAATGGATGCTCAGTACTATTGGTGAAAAAAAAAAAATTAGCCCTCCATTCTAGACATCTGAATAAGGCTAGAAATGTTCAATTTAAACATCCAGATCAGAAACCCTCGGTTCAAATTGCTTCTTAAATATTAAAACCTTGCTTTTTTTTTTTTTTTTTTAAATTGTGGCTGGAAATATTACATTTGTTTCATTTTTAAATAGTACTGTTTATTACACTTTTTGCAAAGTAACTTCAGTATCTGGACAATTAAAGAAGAAAATTGCATTTTCATTACAAAATCTGAAGTTGTTAAGTCTATGGAGAAAGCCTACCTGTGCTGTGAAACATTATATACCATCTGCCACATCTGCAACATATGTCTGCAAGTCACCAGAGCCTCTTCAGGTCCTTTATGTACCCATTCCAGTTTTACTTTGGTGAAGAGCAAGCTGCAAGGTGAAAAAGAGTAACTCTGTTTTACTGGTGTTTCACAAATGGATGTGGAGAATCAGTATCACTCTAGTGAGATCCTTGCAGCCAACATTTTTACTTGCTTGTTATGTCCAGCTCTAAAAGAAAACAAGAATCCCCACACCGTAACACAAAACATTTCATTTGGCTCAACTTTGATTCCCCACAAGGAAATGAGAGGATTACAAATACTCCTCAGCTGCGTCACCAAGCTGGCAGGGCAATGCTAAAAGCAATACGTTACAAAGTTAACAAGGTAAAACACACAGTGAATCTTATTTTATTTTGGACAGCATTAAAAATAAAATAAAAAGGAATTGCCAGAATACACAAGCTGAACTGCTTTTTAGCTTGGCATCATCCTATGGCACTGGCTTATATAATAAATTTCAGATAAACGTGGGGGTAAAAGCCCAACACACTTAATACACCCAGGCAATTATGTAATGCCTCGCAGGAAGGCATTAGGAAAGCAAAGGTTCTTCCTAACCCCAGCTGGCAATCATCTTATGCCCCTAGGTACGACGACTGATAGCCCTTGTACATTTTTGTTCTAGCTAGCGTAACTGCAACTGCTATTCTTATACCTAGAGAATAGGCACTTTCACAGACCACTGGAATTCAGCAGAATTAGGTCAAGGAGAGGTTAGAAGACAGATCTGGTAATGACACAACTTACCACGGAAGCTAGAAAAGGAAGATAAACATTCACAGCCAAGGGAATTTGTCTGCCCCCTTTACTATTTTATACACCTACTCTAGTGTTTACCTTTGCTTTTTTGTTACTGATTGGAGCAAAACAAACGCTTTTAAAAACAGCCCCTGCTCTTAGAGATGCTGAGCCCCCTAACTGAAATGAGGTGCCCTCACTATGGTTCAGGTGCTTATTTCGAGGGGTATAACCATAGGTAGTTTGAACAAAAAAATGTGATAGTGGAGGCTCTCCTAAAGAATGAAGATGAGATAAAACTCAAAGGAGGGGTTAATGATGGAAACTGGCCAGCGACGCGTGCTGTTCTGTATCCCTGAGTTAACTGGGCTTGTATGAACAAAGCTAGTTTTAATATAACAAAATATAGGATCGTGTACTTAGGAGCAAAGAACATATGTCACGCTACAAGGATGGGAGGTTATACCCTGGAGTGCAATAGTATTATCGAAGACAGCCTCATGAACGTGAAGTTCCTGAATGGTGACGTCGCTAAGAGATCAAGCAACCCTTAGCACCTATATACAGAAACACTATTAAGTAGGAGTTGGAAGATGTGGTTACTTCTGCTTGCAGCATCAGCAAGACCCACTGGAACCCAGTGTCTCGTTCTTGCTTTTAAACTCTTAAAGGAGGCTAAAAATTGGATGAGGTTCAGTAAAAGGTTACGCCGATGATCTGAAGTCTAGAACAACGTATTTCCTAAGAGGCTTAAGAAGCCCAATTGATTTAGTTTATCCAAGAAACACCAAAAAAATTATTTCACTCCAGCCTGCAAATGCCTACATGCAGAAGAGATTTCTGATTGTGAGTCTCTGATCCAACAGAAAAGGCATTAGAAGATCCAAGGACGTGCTGGAAGTTGAAACTAGCCAAATGGAGATTATAAATAAATGCAAACACATAACCATGAAAACAAGTAACCTTTGTAGCAACTACTCTGCGCACAGCTAATTCTGTAGTCCTTAGAGTCTTCTCAGCAAGACAAGGTAACTTCTGTAAAGTTCTGATACTGTGCAAGTAGAAGCTATGGGTTTGACACAGAGGTTCATGAATGAGATTCTCTGGACTGTGCTGTGCAGGTGGATGAAACTACATGATCATCTACCATCCTTCTGGCAATGAATCCAATAAAAATATTCTACCAGTCTATGAAACCACCGCTCTGAAAACTATCTGAAGTTTACAGAATATCTTTTAAATCACTATGAGCTTTCAAAGCGAAAGACTTTCCTAACCACTGCATGACCTTCCTTGCAGCAGGAGAGTAGTGGTCAAGGAGCCTAGGGCCTAGAGAAGAAAATAGTCATAATACTTCCCTGAGTAACTCCACACCCACAGACATTATAAGATACCAGTCGTAATATTCATGAAATAGAAGAACATAGGAATGAAGAATTGGGTACCAGTCAGCAACTATACAGGGATATATTAGTAGGGGTATATTAACAGTGTTCCTACTCCCTTTCATATCTGTAGGGATATAGATGGCTTAGTTACGTGTAGGCGACTAAAATAACCACATAATAATTTAAACAGCATAGTTACACATTAAAAAGAGAAACACATTACAAGCATGTTTCTTTCCATCATTCTAATGCCTACTGTATACATTGAATCTAACTTCTTTGGCTGAACACACAATGTCCTGTCTCAGGAGAGAATAGTTAGTGAAACAGAGGAAACAAAACGCCTCACAA